GTAAAGAGATTCTATTTAAACTCCTACATCTTTCCATTTGCAACACAGACTGCCGACAAAAACAAAAACAAAAACAGAAAAATATGATTTGGATGATGAGATGAACTCAACTGTTTTTAGCAAACTCAGAAAAAGCTCTGTATAGTAGAGGAACCTGGAAGAAGAATGATATGTCATCTGGAAGAATAACAAAGCTGAGGATTGTTCAGCCCAATCTCGATCCAAAGAATTTTAGGCATTTTCTGTTCTTTTATTTATTTATTTATTAAGGGAGAGAGGAAGGAAGATCTGAGACGTTGCTAATGATGAATACATTTGAGAAACAGAAGCTTAAAGACATTTGAGGCTGGACAATAGATAATAGACGCTTCAAGAATGTTTGAGGTGGCAAACATGCAGTACACAAGTTCACAACTTGTTATTTGTTTACCTTTATTATTTTATAGTTGAAATATTTTTGGGGTGTGTAATTTTTTGGTACAAGCTTTGCATAAATGAAAGGGAAAATCTTTTCTTTACTAAATAGTTAAATAAAAAATTATTTTCAGTATCATGTCTATTTTAGTCATTATACATAACTATAATGCTTTTACATCATAGTTTACCAAATACTTAGAAAACTGATTTTTGTACCCACTTCACTTTTAGCATATAATTTACCAAACGCTCAGCTGCTTTCATTCACAGCTGATTTCGATCACAGCAAATTTGAAAGTGATTACTATGATATGTAGGCCTACATCAACCCTTTTTTGCTTCAAATCTAATCCAAACAACCCATAAGTTCTCAACCAAAAAAGAAGAAAAAAGCTGAATTTAAATTGTGGGTATTGTCTGATTCATACCCACTCAGAGGCGGACCTACAGAGGCGCAAGGAGGTGCAGTTGCACCTCCCCTTGCCGGAAATCCTGTGAAGAGGCTGGATTATGCACCTCTGCTGGTCCCAAGGTTCTGCATCTGAGGTGTGTTGCAAGGGGTTTCAAAACGAGGAAGATGACTTGGGTTTTCTGGTTTTCAATTTGTTGCAGCACAAACGACGTCGTCTTTGTTATCCTCCAGCTCAAAAGGCATTTAATGAAACGGGGAGTATTGATTGATGCAATTCTGACTTTCAGCAAATTACCACTTTAACCAACTTATTATCCTCCAGCTCAAAAAAACCTTTTAATTATCCCATAATCAATTAACCATGTGAGAATATTAGGATTCCCTTCCATCTAGAAAACCCACAACCCAAAATTACTTCCCATCTCGAAGATTTCTTCAGTGCAAATTTAAGTGCTGATGGGTTAGTCTTGAAGATATATTTTATGAGGTAATATTTCTTGTGGTTTTTACAAGTTATTATTTCTCACTTTTATTTCTCATTATTATTTCTCACTTTTATATTTTAGGATTCCTTTTTCTGCTTAGATGAATAAGTATGTAAATTTAATTACATTACACAATTGATGTCTCAAAAATCATACTCCTCACTGTTTAAAATTTTGGCTAGTATTTGACTAAATGTCTCAAAGAGGTTTCCATGTTTTTTTTGTACTGTTATTTTTTTCATCAATTATGAATGACATTAGTATTGTTTAAATTATAAGGATATTTAGTTTTTTTTTAGTTTTTTAGTTTATTTTTTTTATAGCTTTTAGCTTTTAAGAATTGCACCTCCGCTGAAACATTTCTAGGTCCGCCACTGTACCCACTTGAGAATTAAGCAACAACATAGAAAAAAAAATCCATTAAGATTAATTGATAAAGCCCATCGATTGGGTTTTCAATATTATTTTTTTCTTTTCATCAAATAAGAAATAATTAACACGGTTGAAAATGAAGTTACATGCAAAAAAATTGTGAAAAATACAACCATTAATATTATGTAGATATATATAAAAAAAATTCAAAAAAAATTAAATATAGCATACAAATCCCAAAAAAAAAAAAAAAGAAAGAAAGAAAGAAAGGAAACACATGCACTATAATATCGTTAAGTGAGGTACAATGTATGCGTGGGTAAGGTTTGTGTGTGAGAGGGGTAGCAAAAGTGTGTGTTGGTTAGCAGAAAGAGGAAAAATAATATAAAAACCTTATGATAACTATAGAGAAACAAAAAAAAGTCGTGTCATGATTACAAGGGTATTAGAGACAATTTAAGAAATAAATAACCATCAGCTTTATTGACAAAAAGGACCGTGAAGTAAAATTTCAAAAGTGCCATCCTTAATCAAGTGGGCTCTCATTCTGGAGTTATTAATTATTTTCTCACTTTATATTCCGGCATTTTATTTGTTTACAACAAAAAGATGCAAAAAAATTCCTTTCAAAATTCAAATATGAAAACCTAGGGGCAAAATCATCCAAGTAAGCTAAAATTTCTCAATCCAAAAGAGATTTTGGGATAGGTTGTTATATTTTACACATAGTTAAGATTGTTCAGTGAGATTTGTCTAACTGGCCAATACATGCATTTTGACTTCGTAATAGCTCTCATTAGCGCCTAAGTGCCCATCATCACAGCTCCAATTGGCACCTTTTTACACATTATAAAGTATAGTTATCCTTAAGTAAGTGCACATTGTGGACAAACATTTGCTCAATTAGATCTGCACTTCCAAGAGCCCAAAGTTTCTTTTCTTTTTTCTTTTGAAATAAGTCAGAATACCTATTCAAGAAAGGAAAAAAAACAATATTGCATCATGTGCATGCCCATCTTGCACATATAGAAATACCACTATCATCGTGTTTTTAATGTTTTATGTTTTTAATGAACACAAAAAAGAAAGTTCGCGTTAAAATATTTTAGTGTTTATTGTTAAAATGTGGGCCTTGTGTTGTTAGTTTAGTTGAATTAAATTACTATATTTAAGCACAAAAAAAAAAACGTGCAGAAAAATTAATTTTTACTTTTTGTTAAAATAAATAAAAACACATTAAATGGGAGAGGGACGGAGATGGTATTGTCCTCGCCTCCATCCCCGGTATGAAATTTCGAGGAATCTCTGTACCCGTCCCCATCATGGGATTATATCCCAAATCCGGCCTGAATCCCCAATTATATATTTAAAAATATATAAACTATCCATATTACACTTCACTTTCACCTTAAACTATCATTCAAAACTTAATTAAATTCAAGTGAACTATAAAATTTCATTCAACTACTCAAATTCATTTCAATTCAATTTGACAAAAATAATAAAATCATATAATTTTCTTTGAGAAAATGGGGTAAAAATTAATGAAACTAATACAACATATTGTTTTCTTCGACAATTCATCAAGATGAATGTCCTCACTCAATGGAAAACGAAAAAAAGTTGCACAAGAAAAGGATATGTGGCTGTACATACAGCTACTAAATTACAGCGGCCATGCTACTTTAATAGACTAATTTAACTTAACTTAATATTATTTAATTATTTATTTATACATTAAAACTTTTTAATTGTTATATTATATTATGTTATATATATTTATTAATTTAAAATAAATACATCATTTATCGGGTCGGATTGAGGAACTTGTGATCACAAAATGGTGAAAGCAGGCCCACTTTTTCTGCAATAATAGACCCATAGCAAGATGGAATCTACTTTTTCTAGTTTTCAGCAGTAATAAAAACATAGCAAGATTTCTATGCAATTCGGAGCTGAGCCCCAACCCACCACCACATGTATTTTGATTTTTAAATTTTGTGTTTCCTCCGGTTGATTGTTCCCCAGAATCAATTCTAAATGTGTTGTTTTGAGGCAACTCGATATAATTAATATGGGGCTGGATTCGCTACCAAAATTGGTGTCCCCTCCGTGTTCCTTTCATATTTGTTTGACACATGTCACATAACATAACAAGATGAAATCATATCAAGATGAAATCTACTTTTTCGAGCAGCACTCAACAACTAGACAAATAGTCTTGAGCAATAATAAAAGTTGAGCAGTTATAGGCTTGTACCATAGTTATAGAATATTTTGCTCATCTTGCTAATCAAGTAGACATCCCTCATCCATCTTTTACATTTCCAATTTTCCTAACATTTTGTATAACAAATGAGCATTACATTTCAACAGATTGATTGCTCCCTTCCCTATAATAAATTCCAGATGTGATCGATGTGCTCTTTTGATTAAGCTTATACCAAAATAAGGCCATTATGGAGTCAATTTCAGCAGACCTATTCATTGGCAAATTTGTAGCCATTCTTGAGAGTGAAGCAGCCTCCATAGCGGGTGTTCGTGATCAAGTTGATGAGATTAAGCAGGAGCTGGTATTCATGAAATCCTTCCTAGAGGATCCTGACCGCGGAGAGCAAGCACACACACAAGTACAGAAAGCATGGGTAGCAAGCGTCCGAGACTTGGCCAATGATGTTGAAAACACCATTGATGAATTCATGTATCACATGTACGAGCAGCAAATTGGCGGTCGATTTGCAAGACGGATCTGTTAATGTGCAAAATGGTAAACTGATTTAGTATGTAATTGCTGGTTTAGTGTTATACTTAGCTCATAGGCTAAGCTGTTTATAATAGTCAAATGGTTTGTTAAGTCTCATAGGACTTGACTGGACAGGTGTCTTAATCTTACTGATAGTGTAGTTGGATGGTTGAGATTGAAGCTAGGATTTGTCTAGCTCTCTCTCTCTCTTCTAACAGTAATATGAGTTGTGAGTGAAACAGCTCCATATACCCAACGAAATACAAAAGGCTTTACTGAGCATTTTATTTCCTTCACTCTCTTCTTCAATATACTCATTCCTCCATTTTTTATCAAAAGCTTATTAAACACTAACATGGCCTCAGAGCCAGGTTGGGTCTGAATTTCTGGGCGTTGTGACTGTGAGGTTGGGTTCGAATCTGTGAGCTCAAATCAGTAATCTAGACTAGCATGTCTGGATCTGGATGAGGAGAACTCAGGGCACCCATTTTTAATGGTGAAAATTTCGATTTCTGGCAAATCAAAATGAAAACCATCTTTTGTTCGCACGAGCTGTGGGATCTTGTGGAGAATGGGTAGACATTTCGAATGCTATGCGTGGATTACTGTTTCCCAGTCTTATGTGATTGAAGACTTACTTAGAAGATTGATCAAAGAATTCTGCAAAGCAAAGAAGGAAGAGGTCCCTGCAGACATGAATGCCATGAGTTATAACGAATTGCTGGAGATTTTGGTGAACTACTTGGAGACTAAAAGGTACCTAGTTGTATTGGATGATGTGTGGGATGTCCACCTTTGGGAGAAAATAAGGTTTTCATTTCCAGATAAACAACTTGGAAGTCGAGTCATGCTTACAACTCGAAGAGAAGACATAGCATCCTCTTCTTTTGGAGTTGAAAGCCATGTTCACAAGATTAAACCGCTGGAAAGGGGTGATGCGTGGGAGCTCTTCAGCATGAAAGCATTCTCAAGTTACCCTAACAAATCTTGTTCAACAGAAATTCTGCCATTAGCTCGGGAACTTGTGGAGAAGTGTGATGGCCTACCTCTTGCGATCGTAGCCTTGAGTGGTCTTATGTCTTCTAAGAAGTCACTTACAGAGTGGGGCAAAATCTACAACAGCTTAAATTGGCATTTAACAAACAATCCTTTGCTAGAACCTATGAAGAGCATCTTGTTGTTTAGTTTTAATGATTTGCCATACCGACTGAAACAATGCTTTCTATATTTTTCCCTTTTCCCTGAAGATTATGTTATCGTAAATAAAAGGCTCATTAGATTGTGGATCGCTGAAGGATTTGTTGAACATGAGAAAGGCACCATGCCAGAAGAAGTTGCTAATAGCTATATTATGGAACTCATTTTTCGTAACATGCTACAGGAAATGATTCATGAAAACCAACCAGCATGTAAGATGCATGATCTTATGCGGGAGATTGCTCTGTCAATAGCAGAAAAAGAAAAGTTTTGTGTCGTTCATGATGGGAGTGAAACAATGGAAGCAACCGGGGCCCTCCGTTTGTCAATTCAAACAACTATTGGAGAAATTGGACCACGTACAAGTATGTCAAGGCTTCGTTCTTTACTTGTCTTTGCCACTGGTGTATCATCATTCTCTTTCTCTCAAAGAAATTACCTTTCGACCGTACATTGTTGAGGGTTCTAGACTTGGAGGGTGTCCCAATTCATCATTTGCCAGACGAACTAACATACTTGTTTAATTTAAAATATTTGAATTTGAGAAAAACTCAAATTAAGGAGCTTCCAGAATCCATAAGACGGCTCCGCAACCTTCAGACCTTGGACCTCACGTGGACAAATATAGAGGCACTTCCAAGAGGGATTTCCAAGTTGCTAAACCTGCGACATCTAGTTATGAGCCGTTACGAAGGTGGTTCCAAGCTAATTGGGGTAAAAATACCATCAAGTATTAGTAAGCTGAAGAAATTGCAATCTTTGGGGTATATTGAATTAGAAGGAAACATTATTAGACTTATTGGAAATATGACCCAGCTTACATTCCTTGGCATTACAAATGTGAAAGAAAGAGTCGAGGAGGACCTATGTGCCTTAATTCAAGAGATGAAGGTCCTTTCCCGCTTGAGTTTATTTGTAGCAGATGGAGAGGAATTTCTTCGAGTTGAGGCATTGTCTTCACCGCCTCCCTACCTTGAAAGACTTAAATTGGTCGGCAAACTGGAAAAGGTACCACATTGGTTTTGTTCACTCCACTCTCTCACATATTTGAGTCTGCGTGGGTCCAGACTTGAATAAGATTTACTACCTCATATTGAAGCATTGCCCTCTGTACGTTCTCTTTGCCTTGATAATGCCTCTGTTAGAAAAGAGTTATGTTTCAACAGAGGCTTTGTGAAGCTTTGGTATTTGCAGTTTCGGAATCTCACATTATTAAATAAGATAACTATAGAAAAAGGGGCGATGCCAAATCTCGAGTTCTTAGAAATTCATAGTTGCATGATGTTAGAAACATTGCCACAGGGTATTGAACACCTTACTCAACTACAACGATACAAATTTCGTAATGTTTCAGAGCAGTTTATGGAGTCCATGAAAGAAGGAGGTGTGGATCATCCGAGGATGCTACTCGTCGACGAGAGATGTAAGAAATATACGTAAGTATCTTTTATCCTTTCATTGACTTTCCTAAACTTAATGATTTGGAAAATTGCACTTGTGTTCAAGAAATTGTTCTCGTTCACATCTCTGTTAGTGGATGTAAAGCCATATAAATTGTTTGTTAATTACAATATTGCTTTCGTCTTTTTATATATTTTTGCAGAAAGAAGTCCAGGTATTGAAGATTTTACCCATGAGTTTGGGGGTGGGAAGAACTTGTTCGTCTTGTTTTGACCCCAAGACTGATCTAGATTGGCTTCTTATTAAAACACCCCAAGAGTTGATGTTCATAAAATTGCGGTTTTTGTTTTTGTGTGTGTTTTAATTTGCATGTAATAAAATTCGAGTTTGCATCTGTAACTTCAGCAATTGGCAGATGTATGTCGATTAAGATTTGGACCATGATTCTTTTATATTCGGCGTGTTTGTACTTTCTTCTATGTTAATTGTATTTGTACTTTCAGGTTTTTTTTCTTTGGGAGGTCAGATTTTGTACTTTCAGACTGGCTAAATAAATAATACAAGAATGTCAATGTAGCGGTATCTCAAGCTAATTATGCACTATTATGTGAGGAAACTAAAACACATTATAATGCGTGATTGATTTGAAATACCGCCATAATGACATCCATGACGTAGGTAAGTTTTTCATCGCCCTTATCCATCCTATTGAGTAACCTGTTAGAATCTTCTCCCCAAAGCTTACTCTTCTGCGGCAGTTGACCTCCCCCTGCCGCCTCCCCTCTTTTTTCCCCAATTGGGACAAGGATGCGCTCAAATTTTTGATCTTATCTAAGGAATGAAATGTAGTTTTTATTATGTTTTTAATCAAACAAAACTATATACATTTAAAACATGTTTAGGCTGCTAGCTGATGTTAATATGGTATTTACCTGAAATAGGTACTGCATATGGATAGGAATGACTACTATGGGGAGAGTCCACCTCTCTTAATCTCAACCAGATATAATTATATACATGTATATTGTTATTTAGAGAGAGAGGGAGGGAGAGAAACGCAAAGTGTACAAGCAATCCAAGCCCTGAGTGTTGGTCATTTGAGCTGCTTATATCTTGCTCTCTGGTCTTTTACTAAATCCGGCTCTTTACTAATTTGTATGTTTTACTAATTTGTGATGGTTGGTTTTAATAGGCCTTCATGTCTATCAAGGTTTTTGAGTCAGGTACTTAGATGTAATTGACCATTTGATATGTAATGTGATGGTTGGAACCTATTTTTGGTGTGGTGCTTATATTGATCAACTATTGAGATGTAATCATTTGATATGGCATGAACAAGATATGCTTATGAGTAACTTGTTTTTGTAACCTGTTTTTGGTATCCAATGAACAAGATATGGTTGTAACCTGTTTTTGGTGTGATGCTTATCAGTATGTCACCAGTTGATATCCAATGAACAAGATATGGTTGTAATATGTTAATGGTTTCCATTCATATCATAGTACAAAGAAAACTTAAAACTCAAAAAAAATTATAGTGAAATATTGCTTACTGATAAAACTCAAAACAAATTACATTGTTTTCCCACCAAATTACATTACATTACACCCACTGAACTACTGCTATTGGTCTACTAGTTCCAAATTACATTGCTTACTGAACTACTGCTACTGGTCTCAAGTAGCCCAGGCTTCTCAATCACATTACACCCACCAAATTACTAAACATATTACTCTTAATTCCTCCTAATTCCTCCTAATTCATCTTCATGGCAAACACCACTAACTAGGAAAACAACATAGTAGCCCATAATATTCTTGACTTTGCTCGAATCTTTGTATTTTCCTTTTCCACCCTATCAATCTTCCTCGGCAAACCAAGTATTAAAGACTTTGAATGCTCACACATTTCTGCATCAAACCACTGAAAAAACCTACATCCGTTTTCACCACTTCCCTATATCAACCCAGAACAATGACTGAAAATTTGATCTTAAACATTCTTACCTTTGACTTTGGCAAGACTAGAAATCTTTGCCCTGGGTTTGAAGTGGTCCACGAATTCTGCATCCGTGCTAACTTCCCACAATGACACCATTGGGCATGCCTTGTTCTCCTGTTTCCATCTCTTCTTCAATTCGGTCAGTATTCACACAGAGAAGAACCAACTGAACCTCCAAATTTGAAGTCCCCCTTCCCCCTTTTCTCCCAAATTGTGCGACCCCCTTCCCCTTTTCCCAAATCCGAACCCCACCTCAGATTTTCATAAACCCTAGCCTTCTTCTCCTAATTTCCCCTTCTCACCCAAATACCCCCTTTTCTGAAACTGAATAACCCTTACTCTCCATTTGTTAGGCGATTGAAAAGAAGTGGGGGCCACACCACATAATGGAACGGGTAACGTGAGACAGTTTTTAAAAGTGTATGGGGGTATTTTGAGACGTTTCAAAGCACATGTGGTAATCTGAGACAACTTTGAAAGCACAGAGGGTATATACATAAATAAGCCTTTGGAATAAGGGTCTAAACATCGAGTATACTTGCTGCACACCTCCTTTATGTTTTTTTGTTTTGTTTTGTTTTTTAAGGATTAACTACATAAAAGTACCTAACCTTTAGGGTTTGTTTCAAATTAGTACCCAACCTTTTAAATTTTCACGAGCATACCCGACCTTTCGTAAAACATACAAATTAGTAACTCCGTTAGTCAGACCGTTAGTGGAGTCATTAAGTGATAACGTGGTTGGTCTGACGTGGCATTTTTTGCTGAGGTGGATACTATGTGGATTTAAAAAATTAATAAAAACTGTCTTTATTTTTTAAATTAATTTAAAATTTTAAAATAGAATATATAAAATGATAAAAATTAGGAAAACTAACCAAAAAAAAAAAAC